AGTGAGCGGACTCGGTCCAACATCCTTTGTCATAATCCTTTGTCAGCAATTCTGACTTGATTCTTCGAAACACCAACCTTCGAGAGAATTCGTGGGAACCGCGAATTTTCTCGAATTTCTCCTTTTCGAAATTGTGAAGCAACCTAGTCGATACCCTTATCCTGAGCTGCAATGAAAGCGAATGATCTGCATCTCCTCCGTGTGTATATGCGCTTAGTTTGGATTGACCCTACGGCCCTGGTAGCTAACTGTATTCTTGTTCGCTGCAGATGATGGGGCATGTCAGGTGGAGATGGGTTTGGCGCAGCGCCAGCTCATTTTTTCTTATGGCACGACAGGCTTTACCATATCCTTCGTATCAGTCGTTTTCCACCGCTTGTTGTCGCTTGTCTGCTTCAACAACAGGTTAGAGAACGGACTGGCCGCGCGTCAAACCCAGCCTCAGTGCGCCCATCATCCGCAATGAGCAAGTAAATTCAGGAAATGATTGATATGCTTCAGGCCCTCCTGTCTCGTCGGCTGGACCTTGTAAGAGTTGCATTAAGATCTTTGGTAATATATGTATCATGTAAAATGTATTACGTGTTGGAGGTGTTCATATCCTCTTTTTCAACGTGTTTTGCACGTTTTCTGGATTTGCTAGTAAACCTTGGCTACTTTTTGGACTGCACCTATCACTATTTTATGGTTGCAAAGGATGTTCATCATTTCTCTCTCTTAGCTGTCCTTCCGGCTGAGTTGATGCTCGAACACGGTTCTAAAAACGGTCCAAATCCCCTTGACAAACTACTGAAGAAAGTAGCCAAGGGTCACTACGCGGTCTTTCGGAATTGTTCTGTTCAACGCTTTCTGTGGTTTTTCTGAGTCACGGTGATTTCTCTTGCAGTGGACACTCATATGTCTGTTACTTCAGAAAATGAAGCATAAAAATGAGCCAAGCAGGGGTGCAGATCACCTAAAAGTGTCAGAGTTGGAAGAGTTCGACGACGAGCGCTTGCAGCAGTTGTGGGAAACGGCTAAGAACGGGAAGTTTTCGGATACTGAACTGATAGGTTCGGCTTGTGTTTTTAATATATGATTTTTTGTCGGATTTTTTCTTATAATTCGGAATTCGAATATACCACACGATTCTAGCCTTGCATGGTGAGCTGAAAGATGCTGAGAGGAAGACGAGAATGTATGGCGATGCACTTCAAGAAATGAATAAGGTGGTTGTGCTAAAATTCAGGTAGTTTCACGTCTCAAGAGAGTTTGAGCTGAAATTATAATTTCTCAGGTTCCCATGGAAAATTCAATTCACTTTGATGAACACGAATCTTTGGACTCAAAGGTAATTTTTGCCTTGAGTTTATTTGCTCGTTGATGTTCAGGAACCTGTAATTTTGTTGAACACAGAAAGCTCAACTGAAGAAAATCCACCGCGATATGTCTGATCACATTGATCAACTTCACCAAAAAATCAATGAAGACAACAAGAGCCCTTTCGAAAATGACCGGGTCAGGCGGTTGTGGAAGACTGTAAGTGGTTGCTATTGTACATATTTCGTTCTATGTGTCCCTTCTAGAAAATTTTGTTTCTTCTGAGGTACGGCAATTAAATGAGGAACAGGTGGGAGCATCACTCAACTTAGGCCACTCTAAAGGGTCCTTTCAATTTGTTCTTGTTCTTGTCATGAGGAACTGTTGGGTCCTTCTTCGCACGCCGTCATCTCAAAGTGAGAACTCCACCATTGGGAGAGACGGACAAGACAATCGTAGTTTGTCGCGTCGCCATGCGCGGCGTATAATGCGACCATATGCGCTAAAATTCGCGATGTGCTTCAGTTTCTCATTTGGAGCAGCGCAAATCATATGGTTTGGAAGAACACACGACTCCATATCAAATTTCCCCATTTCTTTGACCCTCCTGTACAAATGACCAAACAGGACACTCGTCCTCGGACACGGCATCACTCGCCACGCCACCTTCACATCATATTACAATTGTCTTGTCGCACACCTCGCACCGGTGATTCCTTAGGAACTCGCTGCCGCTTTTAACCTCTCAACCTAGTGCTTCCTTCCATTTAATTGTGTTTTTTTCAATAGTAGAGCGTTAGAAGTATCACATAGCATAATTTTCAAGGCTCAAATGAATGGAAATTTCTCACAAAAAGATTTGGACATAATGAAAGACGAATTACTCCATTTCGATGTGCAGCTCAAGAAGATCGCTTTCCATAAGGTGAGTTTCTCAGAATCTAGCCTTGAAAGAAATTAGTAATAAACTTCTTGGAAGTCTGGATCAAGCCCTGGATTTCGTAGCACAAGAGCCCAGTACTACAAGGATTAAGCTTTCGAAAGCCTTTGCAGTTATGGTATATTGGTGTACTGTCTTGCAGAAAGAACTGGACGCACGCCGTGAAGAACGTCAAAAACAAGGCAAAATGACCTTGCATGCTGTGGAGGATGTAGAATTGGAAGCAAAACATGAAAAAATGGAGAGGAAACTGCGAAAACTAGAGAAATACCTAGATTCAAAAGTGCGTCATAGTGAACTGTAGAGGTTTGCCTCTCGAAAGATGTTTATATGCATTTTGACCTTCTTCTTTTTCTTTTCGGGATTATAACGTCATAAGAGGATAGGGTGCTATTACTTCATTTGATATTTCACCATCTTTTCTTTTATATTCATTTACGCACGAGACATGGCGTTTGCATATGACATATGACGCTGACTGCAATAGAATCTTACTATGGCTATTTGGTGATTTTGACGACATGAATAGAGAAAGAATGGCTAAGAGAAGAAAAGTAGTGTGAAGGTCAAAGCAGAGTACATTACGTGTAAGTAAGAAGGTCCTGAGGGTCCTGCCGCAACCTCACGTTGCTGGCTCCCTGAACCCAGCGGCTGCTAGATTTTCATTGGTGCATTTGTCAGAAAAATTTCACTTGACCTTTTCCATATCTTGTCGTATTGGTTGCTGAGTGAACTTCAGCGCCTTCGGATGACTCCCCACTAAAGGCATTTTTTTGCTATACTAACTTACTTTCCTCCTTCCGCAATGCCAATATTGAGCATGGAAGCTTTTCGGTGTTTCCGCAAAAGTATGGGTTGTAGGATAAGGGGCGGCTCGACTCTATACCTTTCACGTTCTTCCACCGGGGCCACTCTTACCGTGTCAGCTCATCGCCTTTGTGGCATAAGGCAGCGTTCAGAATTCGCGACGGCAGCGCTTCGGTCGCGCGTTCGACGCGATCAATGCAGTCGAAAGCATGCGCATCGATCGCGTCGAACGCGCGACCGAAGCGCTGCCGTCGCGAAGTCTGAACGCTGCCCAACTCAAAGCGCACGTTTAATGTGATCAACCGATTAAGCGCCAGTGGCAGAAGCCTCAAGGCTAAAGGCTTTTGTTTTAAAATTGTTTTATTATGAACGAGGGCGCCTGTAATTATCTTGTGGAGCGTTTCCTGTGCATCACATTCTCCGTACCATTAGAACCCAAAATCGTTCTCGAATATTCTCACAAATTGTACCCTGCGTAAGGCACCCTGGCGGTCAGCGTCTTATATGTTGTCATCGGGGCTTATCTTATCACCTTAATGTACCGATTGCACTTCCGTCCACTCAAATCAGATGTTCACTAGCACGTCTTGACGTCCTTTCTGCATGTTTGGTAGTGATGTTTGTTCTGTGATTCATTGTTCTAGTTTCTATGCCTTAAAAGCGCAACTGGTTTCTCAACACCTTGGTCAGGTTTATACTGTTGTACTTTTTCACTTGCTTTTCTCATTGAATCTCACAAAGTTGTGAAGCTACAAAATTAATTTATAAAATGATTGGTTTGAAATGCCTTACGTGCAGATGGCTCAGTTATAAATAACTGGATTCGTTTGAAGCGTTACCATTGTAAACATACCAATAAATTTTTACTATCTTGTTTTCGATTGGATAACTTGGATTGGATGACTGCCAAATACCTTCTTATCATGTCATCTGTTGTCGTCTATTGTTCTCATGTTATGAATAGGATACGGTTCTCTCGACAATAGGCTCTTTCTGTCAGAGCGAATTTATCAGCATGTCACCTTGGCGACTTGTTTTCTCTTCTTTTTCCGACATGTTTGACTTCGAAATTATGGCGCAGACAGCTATTTCAAGACTTCTGTAGATAACAGAGAGTACTAATCTAAGGTTACTATGGGGTTCATATTGTGCATATGATTTCTCCTTTTGGAAGGGCGTGGCTGAAATTCCTGTCTTGATTGAGTCAACGTCATGTCGGGATAGTGATTCTTTTTGTATGCCATTCACAAGAAATTCGTTGCAGATGTTCGAAAATGTTCAGAGGACGATCTCCCGTAAGCGACCTTTCTTGCAAGAATTTACTAGTGAGGTTACACGAAAAGAGAATCAAGAGTATAAGCCAGTAGGTGAGTCATCCATTTTCTAGCCGTTTCCATCTTTTCTTTCGTTTCCTGCAATCCGAAATAGCCTTGCATTTCCACTGATGAGCAAACTGTTTTCGCCCTCTAATATAGTTATTCTCTTTGTACCTCTTTTTTTACGTCCCTCATCTCAAAATGGCTGCGTTCATGGACGAATAGCCTTTGTGAGTGATGATAGATCGGCGCCATCGCTGGATTCGAATACTGCTTAAAGTTAGCACCATAAGGACGCTAGGAACAAGAGAATAGGATCATCCACGAGATGATATCAACCCTGGGGAATATCCAGGCGCATCAGTATTTTCGATGGCTTTTCAGAATTGTCTTATTGAGAGCGCTTTTTCTTCTTCACTAGTAAATCAACTAGCACAATACGCTTCTTTTTAAAAATCCTCCTACGACGTGCTATGCGGGAAGTGTCCTTAAGAAACAGCTTCGCGGAAATGGGCGTGCATGGTAGTTTTTCGATCTCTACGACTAGGGCGGAAGTGAGGTAGTGGCAAGTGACGTGCTTACCACGCGCGCGGATCGGAGATTAAATACCGGCTTCCGCTCAGACCTTCTACCCATCGGCTGGCCCTCCGCAAGTCATTGTATAGGCCACATCGCATTCAATAAGCCACTACGATTCTGAATGGAAGTAGAATGCGTGCCGCATCCCAAAAAGGATTGATCAACGGCGAAGACATATGCTGTTTTTCCTTCATCCCCTTTGATCCGATACCATGATATTTTTGCCGCCTTGGCCCTACTCCTACAATCCTTTTCCTTGCTTTCCTGGCTCGCCGCTGCAGAAGAAACCAAAAACACACATGCACAAAGTACCTGTCCACAGGAATCGAATTTTCTGAAGATAAGGTTAGTTTTGACAAGAGCTACGAAAACTTTGTTTTCAGAGAAAAAAGTCCGACAGTCCCAGAAGATATGTCTAAGATGCCTCGCTGGTGAACCAGGTCATATTACTCACGTCCTTTCCGAAGTAGCTGTTTGAGTACAACATCAAGTTTAAGCTATCTGCAGCTCCGAAAATGTACATGCCTCTTGATTGTACCCTACATGTATCATCCCAGTGAGATTTTTCTTGCTATTACTTTGAGTACTCTGTGTGACGTGCGTGTTTGTCGATGACGGCACTTTTTTGTATATGGGATTAATTATTAGAATAGCTCACTTTCTTAATGATTCGTTTGTGAATATCTCCTTATTGACAGCTTGTTGAATAAATGGGTCTTTACCGTTTTCTAAAACCAGCCCAACTCCATTTTACATTCTTTCTCTAGACAATCTCACCGTGGCTTCAATAGAATCGGTGAAGTATTGGCAGTCCTTCCAGGCAGACACACCCACCGCCGTGCAGTAGCTATGACCGAAATGTCTCCACATGAAAATCCGCTATTGTGCTTTCTGTAGAAGAATGCATTTCCGACGATACTCTTCTCGTCCTTATTTCGTGTGCTGCAGGCTTTTTAAATATTTTACTGAGGCCTGTTTCTTTAGCACTTGCTGATTACCACTTTTCATACACAAGAACCAACGACGTGCATCATTGTCAGCTAAAGCCGGTTAGCGCCAACGACGTGTCAAGGTGCGGGGGAGGTATTGTAGAGAAATCTACGCCTGTCCGTCTGTTCTGCCTGGGGTTGCCGTGTCCAGTCTAAGCGGTCTACTTGACAGTATGAATCTGTGAAGAGCTTCTATTCTAAATCAGCTTAGCCCTGGTGCAATTGCCGCGAGCTTGCACACAAACTGTTGCCTTCAGATTTTCAACACGGCAAGCTTTGAGCGTACGCCAGGCCTTTTTCACGTAGTAGGTAGTAGCATGCCCCCGCAATAAAGTTCAAAACCTCCCCGAAAGCTCAAAGGTTTTTGCGCGTTCGATCGTCTATTCCGTACTTTTCCAGCTAGTCATCATGCAGTTGACGCTAAACTCAAGAACGGCACTTAAAAGCGGGCCTCAATCAGGGCGGGGGGGGGATGTTCAGTCGTGACGGGAGGAAGCCTTGTTCGACCGAGGGACTTTTTCCCGTTTTGCTTTTTGAGGCGCGCATCATAACACCATTGTTGGCTACGCGGCGAAGATACCATTTCTCGATCAGAGGTGTCTATCTTGTGGACCTATGGTGCCATTTGGTTCCCAACTGCCTCAATGACGTTTGCTGGAGGGCCAGCACATGGCGGGGTTTGTGTGGAAGATGGCAGGAACCTCATTTGTTTTAGTTCATTTAGGAAGACTCATCATATAGGGGCAGTGGAAAGTAGAGCGGCTCACTACGAACGGAAGCCTGATAGCCTGATAAGGGGGGGGGGACGGGGGAGACAACAACGGGCTACATGTTCACTGGTTTCCCTCCCTCCATAAGGAGTCATCGTACAGACCAGCAGAGCACTCCACCGTTATAGGGCAAAAGGAAGAAATGAATGCATATCATTGCGAGAAGCTCTCTGAAATCACCTTTATCATCGCCTCGATGACCAAAATAAATTTCAAGGGTAAGATCAACAGAATGGTTCAGATGTTCCATCTATTACGGGCTAAGCGGTGGAGATGTCAGTAGAGAGGGTAAGTATCGTTTCGTGAGACGGTTTCCATGACCGTTTGCAGTAGAATCCGCTTCCTTTCAGACGACACAGAGAACAGCAGAACGAACTAAAACTCGTGAAACTCGCGGCTATCCGGAGAAGAAGATAGTGATCACGAAAATCCGAGACTCAGAAGCTGGAGGATTACCGAGCGTAAAAAACGAAGGACTTTTTCCATGGATTCATGCCTAGGGAACAGGTAGGATTGCCCTTCCATTTCCAGATGATGCTTTTACGGAAAGATGAGCAGACAGCTGCGGCTTATTGCTTGAGTAAGACAGCTCAAGAGGCTGAGTCTGAAGAAATTGCTGGGACAATGCGATTCTCTAGTTGGGAATGCACAGGCACCTTATCTTTTCAGCGTAGTAGCCAAAGGCTCTATTACGTCGCATCGATACGTACATATACATTCCTTCCGACGTTGAAGGTGGTGTGAGTAAGGAGGGAGGGTCACGGGGCGAAGCGACCGAACTTGCCAGTCTCATTCTGTGTTCGTTCTGCCAGTAAGTGATCCATTTCTTCGCTCAGGTAGCGT